TAGACTTTCGATTTACACGTTTCATAACCAGTTCTTGAACTAATAGCAGGACTGTTTTTCTGGCAAAATGTGACACTGTGCGATCGCTAGTTTCTCACTAAAGTCAGGACACAAAAGGATAAATCAAAGTTCATAATAAATACCATAAGCACAGTTTCTTACCTTTGAGATAGAATTTAATCTATATAAGCCTTGTGCAAAGAAAGATACAGTCCCGAAATACAATATCCTCAGACGAAATCGCCGCCGATTTCCTCAGCGGTTAGACTGGCGCATGCGCAATACGGTATGCCAGTTCTCTTGCGAGATGTCGTTAAAACTCGGTTTTATTCCGGCAAATTTCGGCATTTGTACTAGTAAAATGTTGAAAATCACGGAAAAACACAATGAAACTTTGGCGAATCAAAAAAATACTTGGCGTGCATATGTATGGCATTGAGATATACATTTGCACCAATTTTGAAAAAAATTGGACAGAGCATATCAAAGTTATAAGAGGTAAAAGACGGACGGACGGACGGACGGACGGACAGAACCCAATCTATAAGCCTTCGGCAGACTTCGTCTGCGAAGGCTAAAAATGAATTCATATTGCTTCTACCTTGAAATGTTGGTCTTTTGTATGGGTTCCCATTCCAACACTCTTTCATCATACTTTTCAGGATTGGGGGACATTCAGGTGAAATTTCCTTCAAATCTGGTCGTTGTTGTCTTGTAACTGCCGATATGATTACTGAAGATTTTGCAACTGTATATTTAAGAAAATGATTATAATTATATTCAATATACAACATAGATAATTATTTCACATTGCAGTCAAGAGAAGTATGAAATACATGTAATCAAAGAATTTCCACTGAAACGTCAAATTCTAAGTTATTTAGTTTGAGATTGTGTACAGGTGTGATTGGCATAGATTTTTTAACATAGACATGTACAATGTTTAAATTTATTTGAGTAACTAAAGCAAACAAGTCATTGTTAATGTCATAGTCCCCGTTGAAATTATAGGAAATGTTATTCATGCCTAAAATTCATGGACCAAAGGCATAGTTTGTAACTGGGAGTCAATAATAGGCTGGTCTAGTATCAAAAGAAATTAGATAATGTATTGATTGGTTAATTAGAATTCATAGAACATGATGCTTGATCAACCATCAACATGCACGCTGTGGTGCCATCAAGTTCACAATTACTTTCACTGATCATGCACACTGTGGTGCCATCAAGTGTACATTACTTTCACCGATTGGTTAATTAGGATTCATAGAACATTGATGCTTGGTCAACCATCAACATGCACACTGTTTTTGCCATCAAGTTCAATTACTTTCACACAATGACATGTTAAAATTTTGCAATTTTATTCGTTTTTCATACAAATGGCTGCCATTTCACTAAATTTTATTGAAATCCAAAAAGAATTAAAAACAACATTTAACCCATTATATCTTGCCTTTGTACCAAGTTTCAACCTAATCTGTAAAATCATCACTGTAAAATGAGCAGAACACTGATAAAAAAGCAAAATGGCCACTAGTCGGCTATTTTGAATTGAATTACGAAAAAAAAATGAAGTGCATCAGTAAACCACTATGAATGATGTCAAGAAACGGTTGATGACATGTTTGAATTTCGTGTTTTTATTCGTTTTTGACGAAAATGACTGCCATTCGGCTAAATTTCAGTGAAACAAAACATAACTGAACACAACATTTAACACTTTATATCTTGTCTTTGTAACAAATTTCTCCTAAATCTGTACTATCATCTCTTTAAAATGAGCAGAAAACTTGTAAAAACAAAATGGCCACCAGTCCGCCATTTTGAA